AATTTTAAAATGACACATATACTTTACATTTAATCGTTAAAATTAATTTCTGTTAAACACATCAAGAATTTTGCGAAAATAGATCATTTCTTTTAAAATACCTTAAAAAAAGATATTTCTTTATTTCCTCTCTATTGAATACACATTTTCCATAAATGCAGCAGCTAGCTAGCAATCAACTTCAATTCATTTAAATAGTGCGAATGTAACTTATGCTTCCATTACCTTATTAAAATTATAAAATTATCATTTAACATTCTTTTTTCGTATGGAGAATTCGACTAGTGCATTAATTTTTTTTTCGAATCAATGCTATCAATTAATAATTTTTTTAAAAGTGCATTGCAACAATTGAGAAAATACCAGTATATACGTAGTTTCAGCCAAGTACTACTATCCATTAAGTCAAGATATTGCAATGTCGATGGCAATATTTTTGCAAACTAGAATAACTAGTATTATAGTTTTTTTTTTAGTCATTGTAGCAATAAACCTAATTTTCTAAAATTCGTACTATAATAGATTCTTCAATTTCTAGTCTTTTATCTTTAAGTGCTGATTTTACAATTTAATATATTCAACAGTCCCGTATAATTAGAATACCTTACACAAGAAAATTTTTAAAATTTACAGTTTTTCAGGAACTTATTTCCACAGTAAGTTATTATAACTTCTTGTAATGAGCTTGTTTGACATTCTAAATCTGAAATTATGTCGTAGAATTCCATAACAAGATTACGATTTTTTACCAAATATTCTAAACCATCTAAATTTTGCTCTTTTGATTTAATAATACTTATGAGCATTTAATAATTGTGGCTCGTGAAGTTGTCAAGGTCAAACATTAATTTTTATAGCATTATTTACCAAGATTTTTTTAAAAAAATTTTATTAACATTTTCAGTGCTAAGTGCAAAGAACTAATATTACATTAAATGTAAACCTTGAAATCGTGGAAAAAAAAACTACTTATTTTATCCTAATGAGTAAAAATTACCCCGTTACAAATATAAAAATTATAAAAATCCAAAGAATTTAATTTTAAAATAGTGTTTATATGAAAATCCATTATTAATATTTCTATACTTTTACACCCATTTGAATTGAAATAAGACCTGAAGTAGAAATTCTATCAAGGTTCTTTACTAATCCATTTTTTGTCATTTATAAAGATATTTAAATGTAAAAGGAAAAAAAAATTAAAAGAAAGAAAAAAAAATAAAACAAATAATTACTTATAAAAGAAATAAAACAGTATTAAGCTTTATTTTAATGAGGTTAACGTGGTGTTTTCGACAAGCACCTTTCTAAAGTCTTCTTCTCGTTATTATTAATTTGTAAACTACAAACACCTGAAGAATTTAATTTTAAACTTGTTTTTTATTAAGAGCCTCGAATAATGGTTTATCTGAATCGTGTTATTATAAAGTCAAAGGAGTGTTTTTGTCGAGGCTTTCCAAAAATCCAGTAATGTCATCCGATCGAGATAAAAATATTTTAGTCTTTTTCTGGTTCGTAATTCCATATCGTATGGCAACGTGGTTGATTTTGTACTGAGAATGGTTAACTTCGAATCATATCTGTATTATAATAGTTATAATCTATAAGCAGGGTTGGCAATGAAGCTTAAAGGAGCCAATGGAGCTGCGAATGGAGCCAATTGAGCTCTTAATGGTGCCAATGAATACTAGTTTTTTGAACTCCATTCACATAACCATTTAGCTCCATTGGCTCTATTGCCAACCCTGCCCGTAAGTAACGAAAATTAAAGTGCATAGCTAACTTTTCTCAGAACGAAATTGGCAGACTATCATACAAACCTTGAGTGACAGTTGTAGTTTGACTTGTGTAGTCGAACAATAGGTCTTCATTGGATGAGAACAAAATTTTAAATTTTATTAACTTTCTCATTCATCGGTATTTAAATTTGTAAGTAAAAGGCTATAATTGAGGCTTTCTAAAATTATCACGTAACATTCTAAGGCAAGTGATTTCGTTAAAATGTCGATTATTAGAAAGGGATAAGAATTTTATTACATGTACATGTTGGAATCCAAAAATTCAAATTTGGAAATGATCGTTTACATGTTCAAAATATAATAATTCTAACACACTATGACGTTTGTCATGCATGTATATGTCATATCTAAAGTTACTATTTATCTAAAGTTGCAACTTTAGATATATAAAATTGATCTGACTAAAACTAAACCTATAATTCCGGTTAGGTGCAACTTTTATATATCTAAAGTTGCAACTTCAGATAGATAGCTACTTTAGATGCGACATATACAAGATTGTAATATGAATAATTATGAATAATTTTTTTAAATA